ACATGATAGCAGTGTTCCAATATGAGAGCCTCCTACAAAGACAAGAAGGCTCAACCCATTTTTCAAAGCATCAAAAAGGCAAAACAAGAAACGATGGAAACTAATCAAGGAGAGAAGCAACCTAGAACTAAGGATAAATTTCCTAATGAGAACAATTAACGTGGAAACCCTTGCCTTCAGAAGTTGTGGGTGCTCCCTCACTGAAGGCTTTTAAGAAGAAACTGGACAGCCACTTGTCTGGAATGGTATAAGGTCTCTTGAGAAGAGAGTTGGACTAGAAGACCTCCAAGGTCCCTTCCAACCCTGTTATTCTGCTTATGTTCAATAAAGCATCCCTGTGAGAAAACTACTTGGGTAGAAACTATAGATGAGGTAATGCCAGATAATGCTCGCACTAATGTTTGTGATGTGGCTAGACTGAACTCTTCTGGGAAGCTAGTTGTTGATGTGGCCATGGGGAAAAGGGAAATCTGAAGCTATGGGGAGAGAATTAGAGTGGGAACATGGAGTGTAAGAAGCGTGAGCTTGGAAAAGCTCAACAGTGAAATATGGAGCAACTGCCAGTTAACATCTTAGGCATCAGCTGAAGTCAGCTGGGATCAAACACTTAGAAAATCAAACTTGGGTACATGAAAAATGTTGAAAGAATAGCATTGCTTTAAAGTTACCAGGGATACAGCAAGAACAGTTTTTGGATACAATGCAATCAGTGACTGAATAATATAAGTCAGACTTGCAGACAACCCTTTAATGTAAAGATTGTTCATATTTCTGCTCCAACCACCAATGCAGAAGAAAAGGAGGTGGACAGAACATGAAGGAAGATGAGTCACTCTGAAGACTGAAATTCCGAAGTTGGAAACATGACAGAGGACAATTTAGTTGCAGTAACCCAACAGATTGCTAAGAATTGACAGTAACCTGATGACGTATTTATTAATCAATTTGGTATAGTTCAATAAGAAAGTCTCAGCAGAGGGGATGTAGAGTCTGCTTAGGATTTTATGGAGAGTAGCCTCATTTGAATGTTTCAAGTCCCATTTGGCCACGAACAAAAAGAAAAGGCAAGAGAATGAAAAAAGTTCTTTGAAATGTAACATCTTGCAGTGAAGATTAATCTGTTTAAAAGACATTCACAGTAAACATTAGAGAAATGCACGTAAAGATTATCAATATTTCTACATGGAACATTGGGACAAAGCAATACTGGGATACAATCCCCAAAATGACAGAATGATCTCAGTTCGAATCCAAGGCAAACCATTCGATATCACAGCAGACCAAGTCTATGCCCCAACCATTGGTGCTGAAGAGGATGGAATTGACTGGTTCTATGAAAACCTACAGATCCTTATAGAATGAACACCAAAAATGATGTTCTTATCATCATGGGAGATTGGAATGCCAAAGTAGGAAGCCAAAGTAGGAAACCAGAATAACAGGTGAGTTTGGCCTTGGAGTACAAAAAAGCAGGGCACAGGCTGATAGAATTTTGTCAAGAGAATATGATGCAGCCAAAGATGGAGAAGCTCTATATGATCAGTAAAAACAAGACCAGGAGCTGACTGGCTTAGATCATGAGCTTGTTGTTGCAAAATTTGGGCTTAAATTGAAGGAAGTAGGGAAAAGCACTGACCACTCAGGTATGAACTAAATCATATCCCTGGTGAATATACAGTAGAGGTGACAAATAGATTTAAGGAATTAGATCTGATAGACAGAGTGCCTGAACAACTATAGACAGAGGTTCACAACATCGTACAAGAGGTAGCAACTAAAACCATCTGAAAGAAAAATAAATGCAAGAAAGCAAAATGGCTGTCTGAGGAAGCTTTGCAAACAGCTGAGGAAAGAAGGGAAGCGAAAGGAAAGGGAGAAAGAGAAAGATACACCCAGTTGAATGTAGACTCCCAGAGAATAGCTAGAAGAGATAAGAATGACTTCTTAAATGAAAAGAAATAGAAGAAAACAATAGAATAGGGAGGACCAGAGATCTCTGCAAGAAAATTGGGTGTATCTTTCTC